TGAACTTCTGATTCTTTTCCTCCCAGGCTGCCATGTTGCTTCCCTACTGAGATGACGGCATCTTTATCGTAAAGTGGGGATCATTGTAAAGTGGGGATACTTACTATTAGGATTTCAAGAACCAGGCAGATCTCTCTTCCCAAGTCCAAGTGACCATGGAAGGTAAATGTTTTGAATAGACTCGGGACCTTGAAGATCCATGATGGTGCAACCAAGGACCCTCATAAAAGAACACTTCTAGAACCGCTTCAGAAAGTGGCAAGAACGGGGGGATACGTGTGTTCAATGTGTCTCCTACTATCATCAATTAAAAAATTAAACATTTACCATGTTTCTGATCATATCTTGGAGAGTACCATTGAAAAATTCAGTTCCTGCAGCAGTGGAGAATGCCTTATTAGTTACATTGCCTTAGCACAATATAACAAAAAAGAAACAGTGTTCTGCCACTGCAGAGCAGGATAGCTTTAATTAATGAAAGTGAAGCCAATAAAATTGAATCAGTATTTAACATCTAAACTAAAATCCAGATAAAGTAGAAGGAAACAACCCACACTGTTATGGTTTGGATTACTGTCCCCAAGATCCACATGGGAAAATTTGTCCCTAGGACCGTGTGTAATTGGGGACGTTTAAGAGGTGTGACCTTGTGGGCGTCCTTGAAGTCTCTTGCAAGTGCCCTCAGAAGGCACTGTGGGAAGAGAGGGTCTTGACTGATTAAGTGTGTCTGGCCTTGGCTGAGGATCTGCTGTGTGGTATGGACAGAATGGGTTGCTGGGCGCTGTGGTTTGAACATTTATCTCACCACAGCCGACACTGAAATTCAGTAGCTGTTTTAATGGTGGGACCAGCCGGGACCTTCCAGAGGTTGTTAGGCCATGAGGGCTGCACCCTCCCTGTGAGGTTAAAGGGGCCATTAGGACCCATCTTTCTGGTTCTTGCTTCCACCTATGCCATGGCCCTCAGCAGATGGCTCCTGACGTTGGACTTCCCACCCTCCAGAACCGTGAGACACAGATCGCACAGCCTGTAGTATTTTGTTACAGCAACAACTGTGGATGAATACAGTGGATGGAGCATAAGTAGGGCAGCCGCTGGGATTGCCAGGTATATGGACCCCTGGGTCCAGTGAGGACAGAAGCCTGACCTGGCTCTGTGTTTTGGAGCCTGGCCTGGCTCTGCTGCCCCAAGCTCCTCCCAGGCTGCCATGTTGCTTTCCTACTGAGATGATGACATCTTTATTGTGAAGTGGGGATACTTACTATTAGGATTTGGAGAACCAGGCAGATCTCTCTGTCACTCCTGAGTTCCGCACAGCCAGGGCACGATGTGGTCAAATCGGCAGCTTTATTACTGGCCAGGGCACCTAGGGATAGGGCTTAATCTGTGACAAATGGTCTCATTGATATCCTGCTCCAAGTTACTAGAATTTGTATTGGGAATTCACCTCTCAACCCCTATAGGGCTCTAGGATGGGATGGTTCGTTTATGCCGGTAATCAGCGAGTCTCCCAGGGTTTGAGTATTCTATAAATCAGCTGAAATGAGCATATTGATTGTGTGACACAGGGCAGGCAGGGCCAGAATGGAAAACAACCTCCCCAGGAGATGTCTGCCAGGCCTCATGGGCTCCTTGCCCCCCAACCAAGGATTCCGGATGTCAGGTAGGAGAAGTCTTTTTTTTTTTTTTTTGAGACAGAGTCTCACTATGTAGTTGAAACTGACCTGGAACTCACTATGTAGTCCAGGCTGGTCTTGAATTCACAGCGATCCTCCTGCCTCAGCCTCTGAGTGCTGGGATTACAGGCATGTGCCACCATGCCCAGCCTAGGAGAAGACTTTCTTAAGGCTGGGTGTAGGAGATGCTTTGTGGGTACAGCCAATACGTGGAATTGGTTCCCGCAGATAAGGCCAGTTTAAATCTTTTCTGAGCTGTGTTTTCAGGGTTTCACCTTCACTGGCTGAGTTCCAGTTGTCAGCATCAAGGAGGAGAGAGTGAGAGAGATAATGCCCTCTGAGAGTCTGTCACATGTCATGAGAGATACTCATTTAACCTACTTGGACATGTTTGTAAACGTTTCTGTATTTATTACCATCTGTATATTCTCTTATAAAGATGAGCCAGAATGCTCTTAAAATACAAAGAACTTGTGTGCCTATTTGCTGTGGCAACAGAGAAAAAAATCAGTGGCGTGACTATTACCCAGTTGGTAGGGGACCCAGGAGGGGAAATTAAGTTACAGCAGCCTGTAGGCTGTGTCTCAGAAAATGAGAAGAGAGACCAAAGGAGAGCAATGGAGATGGTGGTGGGGAAATATAGGAACTCAATCCCGGACAGAGAAATTACTCTATATTCTTGGTAAGTAAGAGACGTAATGTGTGGTACATGAAGGCTTGTAACAGTCAAGAATTAGTATTTTTTTAAAATTTCTAATTTTAAAATAAAACTAGCAATTATTTTTAGCAAGTTATCCTAATGTTTGCCAATTTAGATAACATTTTTGGATCAAGTAAATTCATTCATGTGGAAGCTAACTCATAAGTTTGCAGATTTTGAAAAGCGAGTAGGATTCGACAGTCCTTTGACCATACTCCTTTATATATTAGGTTTTCTTAAATCATCAAATTGCTGGTGTTTTATTTTATGGCTGAAAATAAAGAAAGAAAAAACATTTTCCCCAGAGTTGAGACTCCACTGAAACTTGTGGGTTGAACATTTTACCCAAATATAAGCCTTTTAGTGATTAAGCTAATTTGTTCTTTTCAAACTGCAACATCTTGTTTATAAGAAAGACTTATAAAAGTGATCTTGAGCATGAACTACCTGTCCTAAAACCAACATCTTGGTGAACTTATGTGTTAAGTGAGTCACAGCTCTTTGGATGAAGATTTTCTGGATTTGAAAGAGAAAGTTCTTTGAAGAAAATGTTATTTTGGTTACTTTGAAATGAAAGCATTTGAGAAATGGAATTTGCCAGTATCAGTTTTCTGCCCACGTTTCTATAGTTCAGCACATTGTAGAGCTACTGCCCCATGGGCTGGATTTGAACCCTTACAGAATACAATTTAGCTTCCATGGTCCTCCCTATATCTTACCTTTAAAATAAAATCTTATACACAGCAAAATTTCTACCAATACTTTGAAGGTAATATTATTCCCTTTGTATAGTGTATTCCTAAAATTAGTATTTGTCCCCAAAGAAAGTGACGCCTGGGTCTGTTCATGACTTACCTGACAGAGAAGCCTTGCCTCTTCTTTTTAACCTCTGCCCTTTAATATTTGAGAGCCTCACTCTGGGTAACCCAAAGTTTACTTTGTCTCGAGTGATGTCACACTCCATGTTTTGCATTTGAGTTTAAGGCATACTCGCTGTTTATTCGCTGTTCTTCTGCACGCGTGGGTTGGGTGTTTGGGAACTGAGCGGACCCAGGCACGACCCGGTCTGAGAATCCCTGTCTCTCAGCTGTTGATCAGGAAACCCTTATCCTTCACTCGGTCCCGCGGGGTGTTCACAGGCTTGGAAGGATCCCGCCGGCTGTCTCCACCCGTGTCTGAAACTGGCCCTGCCCCCCCGCCGTGTTCAGTGACTGTGTCCATGAGGGTCCCTGTCCCTCGGAGAGCTCTTCTGCTCCCTTATTACAAAGACTAATTGGCCACCACCTCCTGATGGTTCTGCCTCGCAGTGCCTCTCCTTCCGGCCTGCCGTACCCCGGTTGCAGTTGCTTCCCAGCTAGTTCAGAGCACGTTTTTCTTGGGGCTCCCTGGTCAGTGCTTCCCTCTCTGCCACTGCATGCGCATGTGGATTCCCTGCTCACAGTGGGTGAGTTAGGATCAGGTGTTCTGATCTGGCACAACCCGCCTTTCTAGATTCCTATCTTACACCTGTTTGCTACCTGACCCCCTTTCGCATGGCCCTTAATCGCCTAAAAAGTCCTTTAAATATACCTGCATTTACACGTTCAACTAGTTCACATTTCTGTGTTCATTAGCGAAGGCTCAACTTCTCCCTTCCAAAAGTGCAAACGATTTCTTCCGTGTCTTCCCACGGCGTTTTCCTATTCTCTTTTGCTATCACTCCTACTCCACTGTGGTTAATTGGCTAAATTGTGAATTTCTGAAGAGAAGGCTTTGAATACTATAAGGACCCCCATTCCTGTGCCGTGAAGAAAGGCTGTTGAAGTGTGTGCAGGTTCTTGCAGGTGTAGTTACTATGCGGGGGGACGGAATACCTCAAGGATGAAAGTCAAGAAAAAGAGCTTCGCTGCCAATGTTTTCCTGTGAGCTAAGGATTAAAATTTGCAAAAGAGTAAGAGATTAAGGAATGGCACTATTACCTGTGAATTGTTTTATTCTCACTAGACCCACAGCATTATCTCTGGCATTTGTAATCAACCTATGAATAACTTCACACTAAGAACTAATACTAGAGGTGCCCGCCTTCTTTTCAGTTTGGCATTGAATCAGCTGGGCAGCATTGATGTAAAGGTATCAAGTTATACATGCGCCCTCAGAATGTAATCTGTGCTTGCACTTATCCCAAAAGAAGTAGAAAGAGGACCAGGAAACATCAGAGAGTTAAATGGTGGACTACTGGAGACAGATTATAAATGAGTAATGAACATGGAGTAAGAAAAAGTCATTAGGACCTGGAGAAGCAATGAAAGGCCTCACTAGGAAACATTTACTTAATTTGATTTTAAAAAATTGATGAGGCTGGAGGAGTGGGGCTCAGTGGGGGGCAACTTGCTTTGCATGCACAAGGCCCTGGGTTCCATCTCTAGCTCCAGAAAAGGACAAAACAAAGCAGAACATTATTGATAAGAAGTCCATGAGCAAAAATGAAAAATTCTATATGAAGAAAAAGCATAGGTCAATTGATAAGATTGTTCAATTTCTACATCATGTAAGCCAAAATTCAGTTGATAATCTTACCTAATTACCCAGATTATTTACTTTTAGGAATTTGAAGTTATTTTGTTCTGTTTGCTTTTGTCCCACAGGCGGATCAGATATTGAGTATTTGGACTTCTACAAGCCTGTCGTGTGGTTTTGGATCCTCGTGGGGCTGGCCTACTTTGCCGCTGTCCTGAGCATGATTGGGGACTGGCTCCGGGTCATATCTAAGAAGACAAAGGAAGAGGTGAGCGCTCAGAGATGTGCGAAGGCTAATCCAGTAAAACATTTTAAGTGTTTTTTAAAATGTCCACATTTTCAAATATTAAACATTGTTTGAAATGTTCAATATTTGCATTTGGCATGAATTTACTGTCTGACACAATGGGAAAATATATTACGTGAATTCTAATTCATTCATCTAACAAAGTACTTACTAAATACCTTTTTAGGTGCCTGAGGTGCAGTTGGGTGCCAGGTACTGAGGTTAATCTGTTGTTTTTTTTTTTTTTGTGGTACCGGGGATTGAACTCGGGTCCTTGCGCTTGCAAGGCAGGCCACCGAACCACTGAGCTAAATCCCTAGCCCAACTGAGGTTAATCTGTACTAAAAAAAAAAAAGATCCAACCAAAAGGTTTTTTTTTCATGATTTATCATTTCTTTTTTGGTGGTGTTTTCTTTCTTTTTCCTCAAAAGCAAAAAGTGAATTTTATCACGTAAAAATAATAGAAAATACTTATATCAAAATATCGTAGAGTGAGATAGTGTCTTACTTATACAATATGGATTTGTATGTGTGTTTGAGTATTCCCTTCCTATGTCTGTGTAAATGTGTGCTTGTACACGCACATGCACACATACACACACACATGTGGTCTCCAAGGCCATGTACGCCGTGACTATTTGCACACATGATAGCTGCTTGGAAAGATGCCTTTGTACTTATTTTGTGCAAGTCTGTGGAGGAGAATAAATGATGGAATTTTGATAAATGAAATTTTAGAAAATCAAAAAGCTAAATATTGATTTTGAATTTTCACTCTTTGGAAAATTAAATTTTGATTTCCCATTTCATGTGCAGAAGTACTATTTGCTCAAGTGTGACAGTGCTGGGGTTTTTTTTTTTTTCTTTCTTTTTAATGAGTTCTGTACTTTTTACTTCTGGGTCTTAGCTTTGCTGATTATTTAAGAAAACAACAAATCTAGAAAATCTGCATCACACGCATGCAAGTTGTCATCTGTTAATTGTCTTCTGCATTTCGTCATCTGCTGTTCATAGGCCAAGAGAGGTCTTTGTCAACTCTTTGACTGCTGCAAACACGGTTCTTTAACACATACCGAAAGAACCGGAATAGCTGTCCATTCTTCTCTACAAATATTTTCTTCGTTTTCTTTGAATCTTCTCAAGTCATACAATTTTTATTGTTACTCAAGATGCCTGAGGAGACCCGCAGGACTGCCAGGGTCCTCCCTTCCTTCTGGGATGTGGTATTCTCAACTGGGAATTCGCATATTTGGTCTTTGTACTTGTGCGAATCTGCATTTGAGTTGTACCGTGAAAAGCAGGTCTTGTTATTATGTGAAGTCAAGAAAACGCTACACCTAATATACTAAAATTTTGTTGAAAGTCTTTTGAACAGGATCTGAATGGATTGGATTCACCTCAGTCTTAAAGTGTGTGTGTGTGTGTGTGTGTGTGTGTGTGTGTGTGTGTGAAAGAGATAGGCTTTTTTTCAGCTTTATATGCACTTTTAAGGATATTGATGTGCTAAGACTATAAAGGAAATTGTAGCTAAGAAATGTTTTGGGTACCATAGGTAAGAAATAGAACTGCTCAAACATCTAGCCATCAACTGGCTTTCAGATGGATTTAACACACACGCACCACACACACACACACACGCACACACACACACAGATTGACAGAACGCATCTCATATAGTTTCTTAATTAAGAAAAGTAGTATTAGTGTGATCATTAGGAAAAGTATGCATGCACGTAATTATAAATGTACAATATACTCTTCACATACATATGTGCAAACTAGTACTTCTGTGCATCACACTCATAAAGTTTGAAAACCACTATTTTACAGGGAGGGATTTGATGCCCTTGTGACAATGATGAAATTGATATAGAATATTTGAAGTTTAAACTTTTTGTATTAGGAAAAGATACTACTTTTCATAGTGAGACAAACTGGAGCAAAGCATTAGCACCTTCACCCAGGTGCTAGCAAGGCAGCCCTCTCAGCGAACCGCCTGCTCGGCTGTTAGAAAACGCTACACGCTTGAGGTCTAAGCAACTCGTACACACATCTTCCCACGGTTCTGGAAGCCGTAAAGTCCAAGATGGTGGTGACGGGGTTGGGCTCTGGTGGGGCCTCCCTCCTTGGCTCGCAGCTGCCACCTGCTCACTGTGGCTGGGGTAGCCTTCCTTCTGTGCCCCAGCATGCACTGCGAGGGCTGTGGTGTCTCCTAACACTCTTCTAACAACCCCATTACTGCATGAGGACCTCACTCGAGTATCTTCTTAAACGCCCGTCTTCAACTACGGCCACCTCAGAGGTTACGGCTTCAACATACATTTTTCAGGAGGACACAGTTCAGACCATGACGCTATTCCTTCCAGTGAATTTATTTACCTAAGTAACTGCTATGTTGGGTATCAAATATTAGGGTGTGTGCCTATCTACGAGGGCTCTTCATGACTTTCAATTAAAAGTTTGAGCTAATTCATACTATTAAACATAGAGGAGGAGCCCTTCTTATTCTTCACCACAAATTGTGTGACTTCCACCTTGTGTTTCTGAGTAACGTGTCCTTCCTGGCGCTTGGATCCATGGACAGGCCATGTGAGGAGAGGCCACGGCCACAGGTTTATGTGCCGCCTCTGAAGCTGCAGTTGCCCCAGAGAGCTGAGCCAGTGGAAGAAAGAATTTTTGTTTAAGCAGATGGGTGTTTTCAGATTTATAATGCAATTTAAGGACATGCAGAGCAAGATTGCAAATCCAACCAAGAATGTGGAGAAAGAAGAGAAAAGCAGTTTATAATTGATCTGAAGATTTCAGGAATGAAGCTTTTGGAAGTAAAATAGTACTCAAATTTCTGTGGCAATGAAAAGAGAATATTAGTCTTTCCAATAAGTCAGTGAAATCTATAATTCAATTAAAACCTACTGAATGTATTCTAATTGTCATCTTCGGTTGTAGAGCCAGTGGGGAGGAGGTGACTCGTTGGTAAGAATGCTTTACTCTCCGTATCTCAGCATCCCAGAGCCTCCAACTTTTCAAAGCTTCTGAAATCTTCAGAAACAATAGGACCCCTCTCCCTGTCTCCCTCGCCCCTCCCCTCCTCTCCCTTCTGCCGTGGGGCTAAGGATGGAACCCAGGGCCCCCACACATGCACAGAGTAGACTCCAACACTGATTTATACTGCAAGGCCACAAAATTTGTCTGCCAATTTTTAGTTTTCATGAATGAAATTGCCAAATGTCTTTAATAATAGAATTATCTCCATAAAAACATAACTAGTACAGGTTATAAAAATACAGAATCAGATTCCTATACTAAGCATGTATATTTCCTGAAGGAATAGATTTTGCCTAATTATAAACCTCAGCCTCATATTCTTTTTTTTTTAAAAAAACAAATCTGTTTCAACCATATTGGTAAGATATAAACATATAGAGATTATTATATATAGCCCTGTTTCATTTTTTGGTGATGAAACATGCTGTTTCCAATGAAGAAAAATTTTAATGAAATTATGATGTTTGGAAGCCAGGAAAAATACTGTTTTCCATCCACACACTGAAATAAAACATATCCATGTGGCTAACCAGTCTGAAATACTTGAAGAAGAAACAATTAGTTGGAACAACACTACATTGTTTCAGAAGTGTCGGATAAAATTATAGCTCAGTGTTCCTCTAGGAATGCGTAATGAACTCTGTTATTTTTCACTGGCAATGTACACATTTCTGAAAAGTATTTCATCTTTAAGTTGTAATGAACACCAGACATACATTCTGAGGTAAAGATGGCCATGACTAATTGTCATTGAACCCCTCTTTGCTTGAGGAGATGAAGCTAACTTAGGGACTCTGCACAGCACTGTGTTTCTGCTGCCTGAGGCAGGTGTCATAGGAGTGAGACGTGCCCACAACACTCAGACGGTGAGGTCTGTGCTGGCCGAGGGGCTGGCGGGGAAGTAAGCGTTCTTTCCGCAGACGCGGGTGGGCCCTGTTAGTTCCTGTTTGCATTTCTCAAGCGTGCTAGCTGTGCTTCTGTGCTGCTGGGGTCAATGCCTGTGCACACAGATTCTGAAATCCCCCGAGTCTGAGACAAACACCAGCGTGGTGGCCCCCGTCACTGCTGGGCTGCTGGCCACAGTGCTGGGTGACCAGGCCACCCTTCCTTGTCAAAATTACTTCTTTAGTCCGGAGATATGTATGCAGGTAGAGACACTTGCTTTAATGAATTGGCTTAATATGCAGAAAACACCTTTCAGCTGTGTGAAACAGCCTTGAAAGGCCTGTCCCCGAACAAGTCCTCCTACCCTGGAGGGACCAGGAATGCGGAGGAACACTATTCTCTTCATCACATTTCCTGGTGGCAGCTTAGGTTTCTTCTGAGCTTCACTCGGGGCAACAATGACTGTTTCAGGACTTGAAGACTCTTTATCTTGGCCAGAAATAAGCAGTTACAGGACAGGTGCAGGCTGGGTCCTGGAAATTTTACAGTAGAGCACTTTATCGTTTCTTATAGCAGTGCTCTTAATATGAGAAGTTTATATGCTTTTATAAAAATTAGACTTTATTCGGAAAGCCTCGGGGAGCCATGGACAGATTTTAAGCAAGTGGAAGGAATTCTTTTGGCAACCGTGGCAAAGACAGAGAGAAGCAAACAGAGCTGGATACAGATAAATCAGTTGGGAGAGACAGAGGAGAAAGTGTGGATTTAAAAAACATTTTCAGAAAAAGCCAGGCATGGTGGCACATGCCTGTAATCCCAGCATTTAGGAGGCTGAGGCAGGAGGATCGCTGTGAGTTCAAGACCAGCCTGGGCTACATAGTGAGTTCCAGGTCAGTCTCAATTACATAGTGAGACCCTGTCTCAAAAAAACCAAAAAGAAAAAAAAAAAACATTTTCAGGGCAGAAAAAAAAAATAGAATTTAGTAATTCCTAATCTGAGGGCATAAAAGAGAAAGAATGCCATCTGAGATTCTAACCTTGGGTAAGATTAC